GGGGGGTTTACTGAACCAGGGAGGCCGAGCCCTCAAATCCCCCCAACCCTACCGTTTAAACGTTTTATTCTGATAATTAACTTTATTATGTCTTTAAGAAGAATTGCGCTAATCACTTTATAAGAGTAACCACACTAGAAAATAACAAAATCTCATAAAGAAAACATGAATTGCCATGCCAGGACTGGGAAAAACTGTTTACTGTTTATGAATCACCTAAAGTAGTTCTACGACATTAATGCTGCAAATAATTTCAAAGATGAAGTGACCTTTAAGTCGTCTTTCAACAGTCAGGTTTGAAGGGACACGCTGTATCTGTACCTTAGGTACCTGGTACAGAGAATAAGCTATCCCCATCTCCTCCCCTGCAAGACCGGCAGCACCATGCCCACAGGCCTCGCTATGCTCGTGATCCTGTCCACACGGCATAATTGTCTGAAAAATTAACAAACACGGAATAAAAATCGTTCTGTATTTCAATCAAAGATTGCAAAAAATTTTGCTCCTGTGGCAGCGGGAGCTATTTTCTAATCACACAAAAAATGCAAACTGTAGACACACACAAACTCTAAAAATAACAAATAACTAAGTTAACATGACATTATTGTTTACATCAAGTGTGGGTGAGGAGAGGGGTGTTAGAGGAGCAATTTTATAAGGGTAGGGTGTGGGTAAATTGATGAATGGTCACTGGTGTGGGTGTTCATTAATTGTGAATGCAAAAAGATTAAAAGAAACTTCATGATCAGATAAACAAATTTTCATTAATACAGAATTTTATATTAAAAACTTCATCATCTAGAGATTTGTGATATTTTGTTTTAAACCTTTTCCGACCAGGTTTACTTTAAAAGTAAATATGGGGAGGATAGGGTATGTTGGATATAGGTTTAAATAAACAAGTTTTTGATTTTCAGGCCCCATTCCGGCAAATTTTCAGATTTGCATTTGCATGTTCTAGAATACAGGATACAGGATTTTATAAAAATAAAGAATTGACTTAAGTTTGAGATCCCATTTAGGTTTCACCAAATCACATTGGAATAAATGTTAAATAAAGGTGTTGGAAACATTCCAATCTGATTTGATTTAATCCTGTATTTTACACGACTGAAAACGAGTTGGGGGAAATCAAGAGGACTTTTCATATCAGGATGGTTAAAGGTTTAATATTCTCTGGATCTACTTGGTTTTCTTGGCGATGGCTGCGAGGAGTGAGTTCCCACAGAGGAATGTAGGAATGGCCAGGATAGCTAAATATCTAGCAGTCTGGAACATATCTAGTTCCATCCAGAAGTAGACATACAGGAGGAATATGGACCCCAGGCCAGTGTGGAATCCTAGAAAAAAAGTTATACAAAATAATCAGATTTAATAAAACATGAATTTTTAAAAATCTAAGGTCTGAATTAATAAAGAACATTAAGAAGCTGAACTAGACAAGGGTATTTAAATTTAAGAATTACCCCCCTCCCCACCCCACCCCATCCAAAGTGGAAATAAAAAATTAGATATCAGAGGGCAATTTTTCATCCTTTTTGATACTTTTTACTCAATAATTTAATAAACCCTAAATTTTTTATTTTACCCAATTCAACGAAGAAACCCCTAAAGATTTACAAATCTAATTTGTGGAGGGAAAAAAACGACTTTCTAATAGGCTAGTGGGGTCATACCTAGTTTAACCAATTATCACTTACCAAGACTAGCAATGGAGAATGGAAAGTTTCCTATGTTTACTCCGAGCTTGAACCACAGACCGAGGAGGATGAGGACAGGGGAGAGGCAGAGGAGGGTAAACATGGAGGATACAGCAGGTGGAGGTCGGGTCTCAGGTTCTCTAGAAAATATATATATTTTTAATATTAGATTCAATACATACACTTTTTGGTGGATGATAAAATTCATTACGATCCTAAAATGATGCCTGATGGAAAACCACCATTTTTAGTGAGTAACTTTTGAAATTGAAACGGCCGCATCTAAAAATACTTCTTTCTCGTTCATCAACTCACAAAGTTCTAACGAAACTTAACTAAACTGATGTAGTAACTAGTAAGTAGTAATTCATAATGCATAGAATAAGGTGAATCGTGTAGGAATAGAATTAAATTAAAAGGTTTGCACTAGGGTGACACACGAAGTGAAAGTCATAAAATCATAAGGGTCATAGGTTCTCGGTGCGATAATTATATAATTTGTTTGGACAATTACGAAGAAAATGATAAATAACATGATACATTCAAGAAATTTTTTTAGCTATGTAGATTTTAGAATACAATGCATATTTTCGAAAAGTATGTCAGACGGTAAAAGTGGTCAGATTTGTTTGACTAAATGTCACTTCATTCCGGTCTGCATCATACAAATATCCCAACTTAGGCTTTTTTAAGTACAACCTAATCAACACCAAAGTAAAAAAAATATAATTTTACATTTCATTACCTGAACAGATGCTTAATCTCTGGTTTGGTTTGGTAAGGTCCTGACTCCTCCGTGTCTCCGGACTCTGGTAGAGTAAACTCCAGATCAGCAATATTCCAGGATATAGGGTTACTTACAGCAGCATCACCTACGTATTTATAATATATTTTAACATCTCTAAACCATTTTGATTTTAAACATATAAAACATACATTTTTGTTTATATATAGAGCACATCTTTACATGGTTAAGAATTCATAATTCTCGATTGTGGATTTATATCTTCTTGTTGACATGCATTTCATCCTTCTGTGAAAGACAATATTTGGTCGCTACAATAAATACTTTTTTCTTTGTAACTATATCTTTCTAATTTAACTCTAAAATAAAGTGTTAGTTGTCAAACTTAAAATCTGAATTTGTCAATAATGAATGTGAATTTAGAATATTTGAACATTGTGTAAAAATTTAAATTTAAACGTTTTCCGAATACTATCTAAGTCATTAAGAAAGGACCATACAAGATTACTTCTTGGGGATCCAATTCATTTTGAAGCGGATCCGGATTCGACAAGATAACAAAATGAATCCTATCCTGATCCAATACTTTAACATTTGTTTCAAGATTTATTGACTTTTAACAACATTTATTCTTCATTTTTTATGCGGAAACTTCAAAGCTTACCAAGGATGAGAGCCAGATTGTAGTCTCCGGTTTTAAACTCGGAATTTTCCGCCCCAAGATCCAGTTCAAACTTGTAAACCTTGCTGGAGTCCGCCTCCGCCACGTAAACTATTTCAGCGGCGGAGCTGGCACTTGAGATCTTGACGAAGGCTTGATGGACGGTTATCTTCTTGTTCTCTGAGTTGACGATGTTGAAGCTAAACTGTAGTTTCTCCTTGTAGTCAACACTCACCTTCTTACCCTCCTGATGAAAATATTGAAATGTGATCATAGAAAAAAACTGTAATTTCTTATAAAAAAATATTTAAGTTTTTGAAATGGTGAATTTTAGCTTTAAAGGAAAAAAGGTAATATTTTGTGGAAGAAAGCAAGAATTTATATTTTTCTGATTTATACGAAAAGGTCAGAGAAAATGATCAAATATATAATCCCAAATTTTCTTTTTGACCTGGAAACATTTAACGAGATGACTTAAACTCACAGAGGAATTTATTAAGGATTTACCAGAGGGTGGAGGGGGCGTTGGGGGATGGGGGGATGAACAGTATGTAGTAGCCTTTAATTAAGGTTAGATAAGATAGATAAGATAAAGTTTATTGCTAAAATAAATGTATCTGTATACAGATAGAGTTTACAATCACAAAATTGATGATTATATTAACAGTACAAGTATAAAGTTGAAACTATTTCATCAAAAACGGCAAATCCATTTTGCACCAGGAAAATAATTATTCAGTATTAATTGTTAAGAAACATTTTTAAAATGATGATATATCAAAACTCATTCAGTAATTAACAATTTAAAAATCAGCGATCATAGGGTAATATCGATTTATCATTTTTTTTTCAAAACCAGTTGATTTTGGTATCAAATTCAAAAGGTGCGTCATGAACCGCTGAATAATTTGTCCGTTTTTTGATATTTAAAAAATGTTGTTGAAGGCTAAAAAATAGATCTTTGATACCCTAGCAAACATTTTTTAAATAATTTTTTTATAAATCGTTTTTTTATGATTTCCTTAATTTTTAATGGATCTTTACGAAAAAAATGTTTTTGACTTGGAGATAGGGATATAGATACTCAAACCTTTCTTTGTTTTACCCAAAGGAGTTAATGATTCCTAAGAAAAGGCGAGAAAGCCGTTTTAAAAAGAAAAAGAATTTATAAAGTGAGTTGCTCTGAAAGATATTGAACCTATAATGAATCTTAGTATCTGAGAACAATAAGCTCAATCATTTGAATTTAATTTTTTAAGACGGATATTTTAATACCCATAATGATTTGTTTACACGAATTTGGTTTTCTGGCATATTTTAGTGATTTGATTTACTCAAAAAATCTGAAATCTGAAATCTATTTATAGAATGTATTAAAGAAAAGTGCAAGATGTATTTAAGCATGTTCATCAAATAAGTGCCAAATAGTTTCACCTTTTCTTAAAATGACCGCTAATTACCTTGTTGGGGTAAACAGCTTTAAATGACCGGCCTGCTGTAGACTGGTCTCCGTCAGTTATCTAAAAACAAAAAACACAGTTCAAAAATAAAATTGACAACGTCAGATCAAAATTGGGCAAATAGCATCAAGAGTGTATCAAGCCAGTGTGCTCAGGATTCGGGATCGCAATATTTTGGACCGGATATATTGACACTGACAGATCAGTAAAACTCTCATCATAATTAAAAAGTTTCAAAATGAAAACTAATGCAAAAAGGGAACATTTTAGAATATTTTTTTAAACTCTGATTTCTTTTTTTTACAGGATGTATAATGTATATCCTGGTATGGTACGAAGCACTGGTAGAAAAAATTTAGGGGTTTTTACACAAGTAATTTAATTAATTTAGTAAATTTCTCAAAATATATTTCACCTTAATCTCCGCATTTTGTACACTGATCTTGGTGAGAACCTTGACCGCAATCTTGACTCCAGTATTCCCGACGAACTTACCGGAACCCTTGGCCGGAACAGCGGATACGGTGAGCTCGTAGAAACCGGAAACTGGTTTGAGAGACATAAAATCCAGCTGGTATCCGGCTCCAACCTTCTTCAACTCCTTGGCGGAGGCAAGGATGGAGTCGTCCTGGGCCCAGGTAGCGGAGTCAAGGGTAACCTTCAGATCTCCGACATCTCCGCCCTAAAATTTTTTACTTTTTACTTTTTTACTAAAATAGTATTAAAGGAATTGTTCACGAATTTTTAAAATTGTTTAGGGATTACAAAAAATCTTCCAACATGAATTGGCTGGATATAGTCTATTCAGGTTTTTCAGTGGTAAAAGTTTTAATAATCTTTAAAAAATGTGTATCTAAAGTTTTGTCAATGAGATGTGGTACTTGAATTAAAGAAATACCAAGAATATCCAACTATTTTAAATCAATTTAACAAAAACTAGTTCTTGAACCAGAAAATCTTGCAGTACAAGTTGATATAAGGAAATATGAGAACAATTATATTTAATTTCTCTGGGACAGATTGATTGAAAATGATAAGTGTGGATAATCTTTAAATGGAAAAATGGGTTTAATCGATATAAAATAATCTTGATTAAAAATACTTTTATTGTAATTCCAAGTGAATTTACAGAAGGGGGGGGGGGGCGTCAGGACATTCAACCCCCTCCCCTCACACGTGTTAATAAAATTATAAATAAATTCAAACCCTTAGACTTTTTCGTATCAAGAATGAAGGAGCTATCCATGTTTCTCTTTATGAAATTTGTTTATTTTCGATTGTGGTTTCTCTAATCTAAATATAAATTTGGCTTGTCTGTCTGTCTGTTTGTTTGTTTGTTTGAATCCAATAAACGTCAAAACGGCTGAACCGATCGAAATGCCTAATCTCTAAAAAGTGACTGGCGTATTTATGCTTACATAAACAATAAGGTTAATTATAAGAATTAAACATTTTTCCAGGTAGAAAAACAACGATATATTCTACATTATTGATCAGATAAAGGTTTAAAGAGTAACTTTGAGAATTAGGAATGCCCTGCATTATATATAAGGTTACTTAAAAGTACAACGAAAGTCTCTAAAAATAAAGACCAAGATTTCAGCCGGAAAATTAATATTGATAGGTGTTTATCCTTTACCTTGAGATCAGTTACTGATAGAATAAGATTTGGTTCCTCCGAGTTGACAGATATAGAGCTCGCCAGGGAGATTGAGAGAGGAGTAAACTGAGCTGATCCAACCATACTCTCAATACCCTCCAGTAGATGGAGACCACCCTGAGATAGATGTAGATATAAACCCTCCAGTAGATGGAGACCACCCTGAGATAGATGTAGATATATACCCTCCAGTAGATGGAGACCACCCTGAGATAGATATAGATATATACCCTCCAGTAGATGGAGACCAACTTGATATAGATATATACTCTCCAGTAGATGGAGACCACCATAATAGACGAATAGATATACACCCTCCAGTAGATGGAGACCAACTTGATATAGATATATACCCTCCAGTATATGGAGACCACCCTGATAAAGATAATAGATATACATTATACACCCTTCAGAAGATGGAGATCACCCTGAGATAGATGTAGATATATACCCATCAGAAGATGGAGACCACCCTTAGATAGATAGATATATACCCTCCAGTAGATGGAGACCACCATGATATAGATGTACCCTCCAGTAAATGGAGACCACCCTGAGACAGATATAGATATATACCCTACAGTAGATCGAGACCACCCTGAGATAGATAGATAGATATATACCCTCCAGTAGATGGAGACCACCTTGATATAGATATACCCTCCAGTATATGGAGACCACCCTGAGACAGATATAGATATATACCCTCCAGTAAATGGAGACCTCCTTGAGATAGATAGATAGATAGATATATACCCTCCAGTAGATGGAGACCAACTTAATATAGATATATACCCTCCAGTATATGGAGACCACCCTGAGACAGGTATAGATATATACCCTCCAGTAGATGGAGACTACCCTGATAAAGATAAATAGATATACACCCTTAAGTAGATGTATACCACACTGAGATAGATAAATATTTACGCTCCAGTAGATGTACACCACTCTAAGATAGATATAGATAGAAGCCCTTAAGAAGATGGAGACCACCCTGAGATATATATTCACCCTCCAATAGAAAAAGACCACGAAAATTCAGTCTTTCAATTTTTCCTTATCTCTGATCCTACGCACAAGTAATCCTTCATCCCAATATCATTGATTCCTACACGAGCAACCCTTGATCCTTACAAGAGCAATTCTTCATTGATCTAATATCCTTGATCCTTACACTAGCAATACTTCTTCTAATATCCTTAACCTTTAAACAATCCCTTTATCATAACATTCTTAACCCTTACACTAACAATCCTTCATCATTACAAGAACAATCCGTCATTGAAATAATATCCTCGATCCTTACACTAGCAATCCTTTATTCTAATAACCTTGATCTTTGCACTAGCAATCCTTCATCCTAATATCCTTAATCCTTACACGAGCAATCCTTTATTCTAATATCCTTGATCCTAACACTAGCAATCCCTCATCCTTATATCCTTGATCCTTTCACTAACAATCCTTTATTCTAATATCCTTGATCCTTACACTAGCAATCCCTCATCCTGATATCCTTTATTCTTGCACAAGCAACCCTTACAACAACAATCCTTCATTGATATCATATCCTTGATCCTTACACGAACAATCCTTTTCCTTTATCCTAAGATCTTTGATCCTTCTACTAGTAGTCCTTTATTCTAATATCATTGAGCCTTGCACTAGCAATCCATTATTATAATATCCTTGATCCTTAATCTAGCAATTCTTCATCATAATATTATTGATCCTACATTTTAATTCCTAATATCCTTAATCACTAAACTAGCAATCCTTCATTCTAATATCCTTGATCCTTTCACTAGCAATCCTTACCTTGGGTTGTTGAACGGATTTCCTAGAGAGAAGATAGTTAGCAAATTTCACTGCCTGATCCCCGGTCAGTGGCAAAGCTTTCTTGGTTTTGGCGGCAAGGTTTGCGGCACCGGTCAGCACAATACTGGTGACAGATAGACCTCCCTCAAACTGTAGAAGGTTGCCGTCAACTTCGTCAGCCTGGACTACAGCGTCTTCGATACGGTCAAACACAGCGCTCTGGTCCCCTGGATATTAAACATTGAAGGGACTGTAGAGGTATTTTAAAGAGAATCTTTTTTCACAAAAGTTGAATGTCCGATTCACGACTTTAACATTCAAACCCCAATCTCTTTAACATAGAAGATATCGGTGCTTTTCTAAAAATTCTGAGAGCAACTTTCGTTGTCTCTGCAGTAAAACCCCACAATTCACTTAAACGGCGAATAATGTAGAAAAATCCAACTCAATAAAAAGTGTAAAATAAAAGAATCAAGGATTAATTTTCTTAAATAAAATTGCTTTAATAAATATAACAATAATGTTAGATATAAACTTAATTAACACTGAAAATACTTTTTTATGAACTTCTCTAAATAAAATTGTTAAAAAAGTTTAAAATTAATTACTTACCCTCTAGAAGGGCAGCGACGTGAAAAGCAAGTCCCAAGCTGAGCAGAGAATCATCTTTCTTGAGCGCGTCGGTCAGCGCCTTAGCAACTCCCTTCTCCAGCTTTCCTCCGGCGCTAGTCAACGCCTTGCTGGCGAAGTAGATTGTAGCGGTGGTGCTTCCCTCGCCCAAACTTGTTTTTAGCACCTCACTGGCCTGGAATTAAAACAGTTAATTAATAAAGGTTTCTTATCAGAGGTGTTAGCTTTAAGAAGCAAATATTCGACTGGGTTTTATTTTTGAAGTAAAATGATTGTGGAACTTTAATTAAAATGCAAAATAACCGCATGCAATTGTTCGTTCTTTTCAAGATTTCGATAGCATCAACTTAACTTGACAAAAAACTGACCCAGAACCCTTTAAAGGTTTTTAGCCTCGAGTTGAAATTATCGACCCAGAGTTGGTATTTGCAATAAACCAAAGATTTCAATGGATTTTAATGATCGTGGGGGGGGGGGGCTAAGCTTTAAACTCCCTCCCTTCTATACGCCTCTGTTGTCAATAATTACAAATATGTATATGGGAAAAATGTTTTACCTTGGCTCCAAACTTGATCGGGCAGCCAAGAGCAGCACCAGTTCCGCTGGCGGCTTGAAGGTTCTCTACAGAGCTGTCATCAGCCAGCTTAGCAGCAGCAGAACACAGCTCTCCCTTGTTGGGAGCAGCTTCGCCAAGCAGCTTCAGACCAAGGACAGAATAATACACGCTGGTTATATCAGAGGCAGGGTTGCTGTTCTGTAAAAACAAACAAAATTAAAAACAATAAATACCAAGGCCGGGGACAAAATAAATTCCAAATATGATTCTACCAAATCTAGTTGGCAAGACATTGCACCAACATTTCTTAAACATTTCTCTGAAAAATTCAGCTGAGACATTGTTGCTAATTACTGGTTTAAGAGGACTAATCCAAAGTGTAGACGACAAGGTAATTTCCTAGTATACGAATTTAACCCCCTCCCCCCACTTCTATCAATGCATTTTCTTCCTGCCAGTACCACGATCGACTGTGATCGAATGTAATGTTATTTCATGATTTCATCATAAATAAATAATGGCATCTGCTAATGCTTTCATACAAGACTAAGGGGCCGAGCACCGCGGCTAAAACAGGCTAAAGGGGCCGGTCGCTGCGGCCACATGACCAACTATATCCTTATATTTTTTTATTAACTACCTAAAACTCGATAAAAATTTATGTACAAATAAATTGATAAAAAAAAGAGAGGGGGAGTTTGGGTCCAAAAATCGTAACCAAAAATAAATGACAAAATATAGGTGGTAATTCCAAAAATATGATTTTTGGACCCCCCCCCCCCNATCACAGTGCTCAGCCCCCTAGCCTATATTGTAGCCGCAGCGCTGAACTGAACATGAAAGATAGTATTGTGTCGGGAATGTAAAGGTCCCATGGTTTACCTGAAGAAAGACTGCCTTAAGTCTGTTCCTGTCTGCCTGGGTGAGGTGTGAGCTGGGGGAGATGGCCTGCCCCGTCATGGCAAGGGTCATCAAGATAATTAACTTCATCGCCACAATTCTTTCACTTTCCTCTGAAAAACACGATCAAATTGAAGTTTTATCACATTTTCTAAAACATAGACCGTCAACAAATAGCTTCAATCATTAAAGACAGTGCTCGTTTCACAGCGTAGAATGAACAAAATGAACAAAGTGCACGATCACACGAATTAAAAAATAACTCGAATGTCACTGTCAGCCCGGCAGAAATTGTACTCAGTCACCGCAGTGTACACTTGAGAGCCAGGAAGATGGAAACCGGTTTTTAAAAACAGGGGAAATTTACTGCACAATATTCATATCATCGGGATTAATTAAATTAACATAAAAACGTTTTAAGAGACAAATATAAACAAATTATTGTTATTTTTAATTTATATCCCTGGCTTTGAAATTGTTCCAGCTACGTGGCGGCCTCTAGTTACTTTAAAGTTTTTAAATATGAACCAAACAGGAATTGACAAAAGGTAGAAATGACTGTCCACGAATGCAAAAACATTTTGTTTTTATTTCTATAACTCTTTTGTAAAAAAAAAATTCTTCCTGAAATAGTTCTATTTTGAATTTTAAAAATTTCAATTGAGCAACAAAGAATCTTCTTGATTTTCACGAAAGAAACTACTCAAAGACGACATTAATGAACAGGGTTATCAAATTACGATTATCCTATCCATCCATTGAGGGAGGGGGTGCAGGCAGCAGAGGCACCATGATCCCCGCAAAAATGGGTACCCGCTCATCGAACCTAGAGGAAACGAACCTAACGTTTTTCTGACCTAACGTTTTTCCGACCTAATAATCTGTATAGGTTCGATTAGCGAAATGTCCCAAACTGACCTATAATATATGAAATTGTAAATTATAATTAATATTGTGATTTATATTAACCAGAATCGATTTCTTTTTTTTATTTCATATCATGTGTTGACTTATACTGAATATCCGGTTGGTAACGTTAGTTTTTATTGTTTGAGTATAATACACATTTTTCGTCCCCCCTCCCCCCCTAAAATGTTATAAGGGGGGAAAACAATTCTCGCGCTTAGCCTTACAATTTTTCCACCTTGGCCTCTCTAACATAATGTCTAGTTGCGCACCTGTTGCATTGTACTTTCACCCAGTCACAAACTAAAAGATTAAGAAAGGAAATAAATTACATACAGGGTGTCCCACGAAACATGACAGTATGCAGGACGACTTGAATGTCGTCTTGATTTTTGATATAATTTGCTGCGTTTATTTGTCAACCTAATTTTAGAAGTAAATTTCTAGAGATAATAATCANTTAGATTATGAAGAGCTTATGGATTCCTTTAATCTACAGATACGGCTCAAAAGGCAGAGCATAAAGAGAAAATTTGGAATTGGGGATAATGATGAAGTTGAAACTAAAAAAATGAAACTCGAAGAAGAGTATGTAGAGCAAGTAGAAGTAAAGGTTGAGGATGAAGAAACTATTTCAGCTTTCAGTAAGAAACATTATTTCTTTTATTCGCCACAATGGATTTTTAACTACTCAATTTCGCCCAAAATAAAAGTTGCTCCAATCGTTTTGACTAGAAAACAATCAAGTTCCGGAAGGACTCAACAATCACTGTGGAGTGGGGGGTACGCTACGCGATCCGATAAGTATTTTGGAAGTTATGGTCAAAAAACTGATTTATTTTTATTAAATTGACGATTTTCAGGACGAACGACTTAGAAAATTCGAAATGTCGGTTCAACTATGGTGACTCTATACAAATACGCAATTATTGTAAAAATCAAAATTCCAAAATTTCATAAAATAAAAAAGTTTTTGTTTCGATACTTTGCTCATTTTTAATAATTGCATTAATTGAAGATTTATATAGCCCTTCGACGTTCGAGCCGGCATTTTGCTTTTTATAAGTCCGACATGGTCAAACTCGTCATTTTCGTAAAAAATCATTGTTTTTTTGCCTGTACGTCGCCGAAAATTATCAGATTGCATCTTCAACCCCACTAATAGTTGATGTAATTTATCCTCAAATTTTATCTTTTCTGGATTAAATGATTTTGAGCCACCTTTATTTTTGGTCATCTAGAAAAATCGAAATCCTTTCAGTCAATATCAATTAAGAATTATTAATCTTCATGAAAAATGCTTTTCATAGATACCCTACTTCACTATGTGCAGGTGGACGCGCAGAGGAACTCCATCAAGTACACCGCAGTGGAGAACAGAACCATTGAAAATCAACATCAAGAACTTCATTATCATTTTTTTTACTTATATCCTGTTGTTTGTCTAGTTACTTACCTCATCCTTAATTCTGTGTCAAATTCGACAAATTCGTCTGAAAATTGTCAACTATTCACACTCAAAAAGTCGCTATACGCTGTAAGTTGTCATTTTTCGAACAGTCTTCTAGTTATATTACGCAGTTCAATCTAAATATTTATCCACAGGATGTCCCAAAAAAACTGTCCAGTGATGGAGTAGCAGCCTCCAGTGCTGGAGGAGCAGCCTCAAGTGATGTAGGAGAAGCCTCAAGTGATGGCTCCAGTGATGGAGGAGCAGCCTCCAGTGATGTTCTGGGTTCCCTTTTCGAATTAGAACTATTTGGAATAGTTGAAAATAAAATTAACCAATGCGCGAGATTATTTCCCTGTAATCCTCCAAGTTGACTGACTCTTAAAAATCTTTGAACCCAGTTACAGAAAAGTAGTGAAGGAGGGTAGACCGGAACCAAACTTATAAAAACTATTCAGTCTCTCACCAAGGCTAGTGTTGTTTTCCCCATTTTAAAATCTTATTTCTTTCCTTTCACAATTGATTTATTTTTTTTGTCTTCATCAGAAAGAATTTATCGTTACAATTTTTTAATTTCTCCTGCGGTCAAACATTTATTTTACTGAATCCAACTTTAGACTTTGCATTATTTTTGTTTTATCAATTTAAAAAATTAACAAATATTTCAGATAATTATAAAATAAATATGGTAGAGGAGTCGGCTAGTGTTCTTACACCTCCGGGGAAAAAGATGAAACAAGCCAGACTTCCCTTCGCTCCAGTTAACAAACAGTCAAGTAAGTTCCTTAAAAAAAATATAAAAAATCACTCATTTTATTTTATCAGTTTTGTGCTCAAATATAAGACATTTGGACATAATGACTTTACAAAATCCCTGAATGATGTAAATATCTCCGTCTTTTCTTTGACAAAGTTTAAAAGGGCACAATTTTGAAACTAGAATTTAAAACGTCGAATGTCCCTTTAAAAGCAATATATTTAAATGATGTTCTGTTTTCCTTGTATCTACTAGGAAATCCTAAGGCCGATACTTAAGTAAGATAGTAAAAATATGCAATGCTTGATCTCGATATGAACTGTGGAAATTTTTTAATTTTAAGGCAAAGTATCTAAATTTAAAGCTACTATTGCTTGGGTTCCGACCATGGGATATCTACGAGTAAATAATTTAATCCTTTGACAAAGGATACGAGTAAAATTATTGTTTCAAGGATTAACAATTCAAAAGTTTTTATCCTTGCCCTTGAACAGTGTATTTGTTCAGGTGAAGGTGAAGAAGTGCAAAGGAAGAGAAAACTCTCAGATGCTGCAGCCGCTACTCCGGAACCAAAGGAACAAAAAAAAAAAACAAAAAAAACAATTATTTTATTAACCAGTGTTAAGCTGAAGTAAAGTTGTCTGTTTTTAGTTTTAAATTTACCAGAAGAAATTCTGAGTAGAAGCATTTTTCACCGTGNTATATAAGTACAGTATTGCATATAACTCAAAATCAAGAAACTACTTCATTTTAAGAGAAATGAATAAAGACAACTTATTTTTTTTTTGAATGAGCTTCATAATACATTTCGAAATAATGTTTTTCTTGGAGCAGTTGCTAAAAAGTAAGATTAATTGAAAGCATTTGAATAATCTACTTTTTTTTAAAGATAAATGTTTGTATAGGAGCGTCCTGAGACTATGAAAGGTCGAGTGAAGTTAGCTTTCAAGAAGAATGGGAAAAAGGAAAAGAAGAATTCTGAGGTTTGTATTATTATTATTAAAAAACACTTCTGGGGATGTTCTGGTGCCCAAGGAAGTCACACCCATCCGTACTTCCCCTCCTGATATGTGAGCAACCCCGCCCAGGGTTGTCTGTTTGTTAATCGCTTAGGGGATGTCCTAATTTAAACCCTGGATGTAAGCGAACTAGGTGTAGGGATTATATGGAACCTGAGTTAGCCGAATCCCCAGGTTGACATTCACCAACCCACCCACTCCCTCTTGGGACACAGGCCCAGTGTTGAGGGTACTTTATTTCTGTGTAAAATCGATTCCAATAAAATTTAGAAAGGAAATATATTGGTCTGGCAACTAATCTTTTTTTTTAAATATTACTTTGTTCAATTATTACTCCCCTGTATTTGATAAATTAATATAATTTCTCACCTCACAGATGTTGGGTTCGAATCATCCATCTCTCTACTATAGTATGTATGTCACGAGCCCGGTTTAGCAGTTTCAGTCTCCCACATCCATCCTGTCCCAGGTATCGTCTCAGGATGTATTTGTTGGCCTTCCCTGGGTACTGCTGTATATAGTTGACTAGTCCAGACTTCTTTCTCTCCTCGTTCGTTGCTGGGCATTCGAGTATCATTTAGCCTAACATCTGGGCCATTTGCACTACATAATGGACACAACTTCCACTGGTTTCCATACTTATTTTTCATATGATTTCCTAGTTGAAGATTGCCAGACCTGGCCATGTTTATGATTTTTCTCCGCCTAGAGTGATTTACATGATCCTGCAGTTAGAACCATTCTCGAGGTTGTGGTTGAGATTGGAGTGAACTGTGTTCACGCTTGGCATCTAGGACGTCTTTAATGGCCACATCGTTAAATTTCTCACGCAGCTGCTTAAGATTTAGATATGAGATGTTGGCCTCAATAGCATCTTCAATTTCCTTGATGTCCCTGGCCCACTCATCCTCCTCTGGGTTCTCCATTGCTTCCTTGAGACATTCAGTAAGAATAGGATCTTGTTTCTTGTTAATCGCCCTCCAATAATATCTGGCCTTTCTCAACCAGATTCTATACTTCATGGGCATGAGTCCTGCCTCTGTCCATGTGGATACTTTCGAGGTTGACCTGGGAACCTGCAGTATGAAGTTTCCAATTCCACCTGGATCTTTTCCAGAGCCTCTGTTGTTCTTTTGCAACTCTTGACCTGTCCAACTCTGCCCTAGTTAGGCTCATGATTGAATGGGCATACCTGCGCCGACGACACTTCATCTTTTTCCCTGTTTAAAATACACCTGCCTCGCAGTTGAATGTTGACTCCTAGGTATTTAGCAACTAAGGATTCTTCCAGTGTATCCTCCGAGTCCCCAATTCTCTATTTCTTACCCTGATCCCCTGTGGTGAGGACAAAAGATTTACTTACTGACAGACCCATATTCATACTTGTACAGAACTGGTTTAGTTGCCCTAGTAAGTAGCACATTCCTCTGATTGGAGTTTTGGACATCATTATCAAATCATCTGTGAAGAATAGTCCGGTCAAATGCACTCCACCAATTTCGATCCATAATTTTGTCTCTTCCAACCGGATCCCTAGTCCAGCAATAAATAATGCAAATAACAATGGTGATAGGGCACATCCTTGCTTAACTCCACATGTAAACCAGACCGGGGGCAGACAAACCTCGGCTTAACTTAATTACAGCGTTATCATTATAATACGTTGACTGCACCATCCTGTAACACTTTGCCCCCAAATCCGCTGCACTCTAGTTCCTTATAGAGTCACAGGTCACAGAATGCTACTGATATCCTGTACTTCCGTTTCTTAGCTTTCCTTACTGCAGCCAACAAAAGGAATGTACAATCTGTGTTTGACCTCCCTGGTCTGAATCCATATTGAATCTCCAAACAGGTTTTCTCTCTCACAAATCTTCAACATTCTATGGTTGAGTGTTTTGGTGATTACACTTAATTTTAAGCTGGAGACTATTATTGGTCGCTTATTTGAGATTTTAAGTGATGCTTCTTTCTTGTCTACAAGTGACAAGTATTCAGGCACTCAGGCGTCTCTCCTGACTCCAGGCACTCATTAACCAACTCATTTAGCCTCTTATTAAATAGTTCTGACGCATTTTTATATAATCTGGTTGGTATCTCATCTACACCTGGTGCTCTCTTTCCTTGTGGCTATTTACCAGGTTTTGAATAAATCTTTCTGATATTGGAGCACACACTTCCGATTCAAACTTTGTGCCATTATGATCTTTCCTAATCCACTCTCCCTGGTCCTCATGATGCACTGCATAAGCTGTTATGACCAGCTGCTCTCCTTTGAAGTCAAAGATTTCTGTCCCCTATTTATTTTTCCAAGTTCAAGTAGAACTACTACTTTTATCTGGAACTCTGATGACAAATCTACAAGTATTCAAGTAAGTATAAGTATCAGCTTCGTGTTTTGTCACTTATTGTCCATCCGCATCCTCTACTGCACTCAAAGACGACATTTGTTTCATTACCTTCTTCAGCAAGGCCCAGAACTGTTCAGATTTTAGTAAAGTTTTCATCCTTAACTCATTCCGCCTCTTCATTTTATCATCTAGACTCTGAGCCCTGCATTTGTCGGACATGTCATGCAATTGCATTAATTTCTCACTCAGTTTTTGTTCCTCCTCAACGTTCCAGATTGCGCCAGCCAATCTCCGTGCCGCTTTAGATATCGTTAATCTCTTGGTCGACTTTTCCAACCACTTTTGCCTGTCCTTAAGTTTTCTCAGGGACTTGCTGATCTTGACTTTTTTCCTCTTTTTCTCCCTTTGTCTAGGTTTACCAAAAATCTTCAGTCCTGCCTTTCTAATTACCTTTTACTTCTTGTTTAACTAATTTAAATTTTAAATAATTATTCGGAATTAAAAATAAAACATCATTAACTTGAAACATTTTTGACCTCATATATTAAAAACCTTTAATCCCTGGAAAAAAACGGGATTTGAAGGATTTAAAGAATTATTTTCCATGAAAATATACAAACCTTGTAACATCATCAAGTTGAGTCCAGTTCAACTCTCCTAATTTCCTAACTCTTCATCTGTTTGTAGAAGCAGGCGGATACTGACTCTGATATTGAACTCCTGACTGGAGATGAGAGGGAGGGGGATGGTGAGGATACAAGCATGACGGAGGACTGGGCTAAGTTCCACCAACAAGAGATGGAGAAGGTAATCAATTTGAAACAAGAGTGTCCCACTGAGTTTGCAGTATTTTTGAGGGATGTTTAATGGTGCCTAAAGCTTTCCCTATTATTCATGATTTGATTTGATTTGTTTTGGAGTATTTTTGAGGAATAAAAATCAACAGTACACTCAGCAGTACATAATTTCTAAATCCTTCCCCTGTTCCCCTGAAGTACCTGCATTAAATATCCCCTTATATCAATTCCCCACTAATGTTCTGTTATGTGTTAAAAAAAGCAAAAAATTCTCTTTGGTTAAGAATTTGGATTTTTTATAACCCTTCAACCTAAGTTTTAGTAACTTCTCGAAACCCTGTTAAAAAGCAAGTAAAGATTAAAAATAGGATTAAGGTGTTAACTTTTTTTAGATTTAAATTTTAAACTGCAAACGTTTCTGTAAAGAAATTCGTGCTTTAAAATATGACGTTGAAGTCAGAAGTGATGTGAATTTATGTTTTTCGTTTTATTATTTTTAATAAATCCATGTTTAGAATCCTGGAGAGGGCCACACAGATAAAATGGAGAGTTTAGTTACACCTAAAGATGAGAAGAAACACAAGAAACCTAAACCAGTGTCAGAATCCACCAAATCTGAGGAGAAACCCAACCTGGAGCCGGAACCCACCAAACCTGAAACAGTCACCGAACTCAAAACCCCCAAGGGAACTAAATCCTCAAACAATGGAGCAAAAACTCCCAAATCTGACTCCAAGACTGCACCCAAAGCTAATCCATTGGCTAAATTCTTGGTTAAAATGAAACCTGGAACAATTCCTCCTAAAACTTCTGCTTTTGCTGCTCCAATCACTTATAGAAAAGCTCCAAAGCCAAAGGCTGGAGCCCGACCCGTTACAACTGTGGCCGGAGCTGTTAGTCAGCTGAAAACTCTGCAAGGTAATTAAAAAAAAATCTTTAACAATTTCCGAATTAAAAGTTGTACATTTAATGATTTATTTTTTTACTACAGTGGAATCCAAAAATAATGAATTGATTGTCATCTTTTTCTTTCTTTTAAATAGTGAAATGTTGTTTTGTAACAAAGCTAATTTTTTTAAATGGGCCCTGAACAAAATTCTTTACGACATTTCTTAATAAATACAAATTAGAAAGATCTAAACAAATATTCCACAATTTTCTCGTTGTACCACTGCATCTGTGTGTATAGGCATTGAACACACCAACTCTATATTATGAATATTATGAATATGGAGTTCATAATCACAATAATTAAGACCTACTGTTGCCTGTTAGATAATTAGATGAACGGATATTTTAAATAAGGAGTTTCTGGTGAATTCAGACTTATTAATGGTTATTGTTCCAGGAACTATGTTGGATACTCAATACACATAATTCCGATATTACATCACAATACTTCCAATACTTCTGGAACTTATGAAATATTTAAATTTTTTCTCATAAAAGCATTTTTCTTAATTTTTTCTATACCAGGAAATTTATGTTTATGACATCTAAAAACCATAAGATATGAGACAAACATTATGAAATGATTGTCAGGTTTATACATCTATATATATATACTATGCTTGTTTGCTTCCCTGTTTGTCATTTTGTATTGAAACGGGCCCAAATTTTTTTGGGGCCTCCCGTGACCCCAGGGAAGGTTTATGAATAATGAAAATTTCAAAAAATTTTGTAAAATTTTGAAAATTCGCGGACAAATTTTATGATATACGCAAACTTTTTTGTTTTTGTTTTATACTATACAAAGAAAAAATGTCCATAATCAAATTAGAAGATTGGCGCATAAAATTAGTCCTATTAACCCGCGCTCTACCCTTAAACCAGAAATTTTTTAATTTTTGTAACAGCTTTGTTTAAGGTTTGTAATTAGTATATGGGCAAGGGATTTTAAAAGAAGGGAAACCCTTCCGGCCCTCAAATAAACAATAATTATTTGAAAATAATATTTACCACTTATGAGTTAATGCGTAGATGGCGGAGGCTCCGAGTCTGAGGATGAAGTCGAGGGTGAAGAAATCGCTTTAGGTAAAAAATATCCCTAGTCATAAGGTTGGATCAATTTCTCTTTACTTAAAAATTGAAAAAAATATTTCATATTAATATTTTAATATTGCTACCCAAGATCGGAAATTCAAGTTTAGAAGCAGGTTGGGAAAATAAAAATTATCGTTTATTATCGAAAATATGTGATTTTTTTATGTCGTCTGTTCTTTGATGTTTGATTTTTATCCCAAACGTTTCCTTGAATTTCATTGCGAAGACGACATGTGAAGAAACCTGCGAATAAATTTTTAGAAATTTAAGAATTCATTCATGATAAGGAGGACAAAAAACTAATGAATTCTTTGTTATTTTCATCCATACTTTCTTTGAGAAATATGTCCGTTCCTTTTGTTACCTTTTTCGAATGGGTTATTTTATGATTTTAAAATATACTCTCATAAGGAAACTTCCAGAATCATCCAGCTCGTGTTTTTTATCTTATGTAGCAATTGTAGAACGTAAGAATGTTTTATAGGTATTAAATAAATCCTAACCAATACCTAACCAGTAGCCAGTCACTCCCTTTAAAACTACATTCCTTTCCTTAGTTTATACCTAAAATGAATTAACTAGCAAATGAATGAATGAATGAATAAATGAATGAATAAATGAATAAATGAATAAATGAATAAATGAATGTGTGAGTGAGTGAGTGAGTGAGTGAGTGAGTGAGTGAGTGAGTGAGTGAGTGAGTGAGTGAGTGAGTGAGTGAGTGAGTGAGTGAGTGAGTGAGTGAGTGAGTGAGTGAGTGAGTGAGTGAGTGAGTGAGTGAGTGATGAGACGATTGATGAGACGATTGATTGATTGATTGATTGATTGATGAGACGATTGATTGATTAATTTTGATGATTCTTCAATTTTATAAGATGATGTGGCTGCGTCTTCCTCTGAAGTTAAAAAGCCCTTTCACTATAGGAAATAACTTGGATTATTTTTGATGAAATTTCGCTGAATCGACAAAAAATAATTATTTTCTTTTATTTAGCTTTACCGCAAAATTGCTACAAATCAGAATAATTTCAAATTCAAAAGTTTTTAAAACAATCTAACCATACATAATAGCCGTCTCCCACCCCTGAATTTATACTTACCTTTTTCTGGGTTGATTCATTGCAAGGATTTAATGCAAGGAAAGGTATTTCAGAGGTGTACGCTTCTTTTGTACTGCAGTGTACTGTCTCTGGGCGGTAATGTAAACACAAGAAGGATGTCGAAGCCTGACATGGGATCCATCTTCACATAAAAAAATCAATGAAATATTCTGGTCATAGGAAAATATTATGTAAATTATCAAAATTTAATGCTTTTAACCCCCTCAGATACTAAACGAACAACGATGCATCTATTCTTGTTGACAAATTCCGCCTAGAGAGAACTGGTTTCAACATGTACGCAGAGTGTACGCAACTGCAATTAACTTTCCTTGATTCATAAGAACTTATTGGAGCTGAAGGATACAATCATAGATTGAAGGATTAACAGTGATAATTATTATTATTAATATCTGTTGGACTATTTGTGCGTAATGTAGGAAGTGGATTAAAAATTGATAAACAAAAATTTTACAATGTTAAAAAAAAATTAAGTCAAGTTTGGCGAATCCTTAGATTATTAATTTATCAGTGATAAACTCAGCTTTAAGAACAAGAAACTAACACCCAGATTTATGAAGTAAGTATAGAATATTGTATTCTTATTGTCTTATACTTTCTTAGACCAGAAGATCTTAACAGGCAAACTGTTGAATTTTTTTTTATTTTGACATAAATATTGACCAATAGTATTGTTTATGTTATAATTATTATCAGATCTGAAGAAGAAGAAGAAGAAGAAGAAGAAGATGATAATCTAGTTGATATAGAGGTAATAAACTTTAAAAGAGTGGGGAAGTTAAGAGGGTTTATCTGACCTGAAACAGGAAACAAGACAAAGTTGATGACTATTACTGGTACCACTTTGTGACCTTTTCAATTTTTTCCCTATGAAAGCTTCAGTTAGGACTCAATTAGGTCAAACCTCATCTTCAAAATCTTTTAATTATTTGAATAGCACTAGTTTCTCCTCCCCCCATTCTCCTGTGTATAGTGTTCAGTATTTATTTAAAGAAAATTTCTTGGGTTGTTCCTGGCCCCAAGCAATCCCACCCATGAGAACTCCCCCGAACTATGCGCATATCAATCAAGCCTGGGGTAGCCTGTTTAGTCCGCTTAAGGCATGTACTATCGCTGAATTCTGGATGCAAGCGTACTCGGGTGCAGGGTTACCAGAACCCGTAGTATTCTGTAGCCTTAGGTCAACATCCTTGACCCCCATAAACTCTTGGTTTATTATGTTCTTTAGTACAAACATGTTATCATTTTAATTTTTTAACAGGTTGGTTTGTTAAATACCTGTACTTTTATATTTAGTCTGTTGAGAATATATTTTCCTAGAAAAAGTTTTCTGAAATCAATGGATGGTTAGAGAATAAAACTGAACAGGGTTGTATAAGGTAAAATCCAATACTCAAACTGGATTTAATATTTTAGTAAAAATTATTATATCATATCTGTTCGGTTCCATAGAAGTAAACCTATCGTGTAAGAATTCCCATTATTACACGGTTCAGGAGGAACAATTTTATTATTGTTCGCTTCCTTGCGTTTAAGAATGCTTATTCTTACACTGTAGGTGAAAGAATGTAAACATATTCTTTTACGCTCCAAGCATTAAAGAATATGATAATCTTATGAGGAAAAAAATGTAATAATGGAAATTCTTAAACTCGGCCTGAGTTAAAGAATGCATCAAGATTACTTCATCGAGTTTATGAATTCCATTATTACATTTTTATCCTCCTAAGATTATTATTATATCATATTTGTGAGGTTCCATGGGCACATACCCAAGAAATTATACTAAAAAATAATTCTGGTGAAATCCGACTATTTCAAGGAGGAATAGTTAACCTTATGAAAGGTTGCAAATAAGTTTTATGCTCTTGTTCTGACTATCACTGTTTTTTTAATTTTCCAAAGGTAAAATGTTAAAACCATTTTATAAGTAAAAATTTGCTCTTAATTTGAAAGTAATACATGTGATGTGATTGTTTCCTTAGTTTAGTTTGTTTGTTACCCAATTTCTAATGAATTTGCTTGTTTTTCAAGTTGATACTACATTTAAATACAGCATGTTGAATGTGCCCTGAGTTTTTTAAGATGTGGAGAAGGTATTGTATTGGGTTGTCTTAATCTACTGAACAAAATCTTGAAATAATTTAAAGAAGAAATCATTTCCTGGATATTAGATCCTAATTCTTCCAAAAAGAGGAGATTAAATGGAGTGTTCGCGAAAAATGAAAGGGGGTATAGGCTTAATGCGATAAAAAAGTGCTTTTGATCACTACTAATCTTACTTCTATCTGTTGCGTCTATAAGGAGAAAATTGTTAAAAACAACTAATACCGAAGAACGTAGTGTCCATACAAATTCAGAAAGATGCAACATACGACTTAGACCATAAAAAAATCTATTTAATTTCAAACAATAGATATTACAACCTATGGCCATCGACTATTTTTCGCCACATTTGTATATAAATGATATTTCATAATATGTTTTGATTTTGTTTTTTAAAATAATATTTAGCTTACAACTTGTTTTCGAACATTCCTGGAAAATATGAAAATGTCGTCTTCATTACCAAAAATCCTCGAAACAGGAATAAATGTTTTTAAAAGTAACTCTCAGATCATAACAATTAATAATTTCCATTCTTACACGGTCTGAGCGATAAAGAATGAAAATTCTGCACCTACAGTGTAAGAATAAGCATTCTTAAACGCTAGGAAGGGAACAATATTAAAATTGTTCCTCCTGAACCGTGTAATAATGGAAATTCTTACACGATAGGTTTACTACTATGGAACCGAACAGATATGATATAATGGAAATTATTACACTATTTGAAGAATATTGATTTTTACACGCTCATTATATTGATCTTCTTAACATAGATCAATATTGATATTAACTTAATTATTTTGTACTGACAACATGCACTGCACACACCTTTTTATTTTATATTAATGCATGCAAACTTACCTTTTTATACTTTAAAACAACATGCTCACTTACCTTATTCTTAAATATTAAAACATGCAAACTTACCTTTTTTAGATTATTAAAACATGCAAACTTCCCTTTTTATACTTTAAAACAACATGCTCACTTACCTTGTTCTTGAATATTAAAACATGCAAACTTACCTTTTTTAGTTTATTAAGACATGCAAACTTACCTTTTTCGTTTTTTGAAGTATTGATATATCTTAATTCAGGAATTTCTATTTTAATCTTAACCTTCGTCCTGACAGAAGAGTGGAACCGGCCCTGTGTTTAATTAACATTTTCTGACCTTTCCAAAAAGAATTAGCCAAGTACTTAAAACTTCAAGAGTCTCAAAGCATACTGCCCGACTGCCTACTTTATTCAATTTGTTTTTAGTTTTTCTTCATTGCAAATCAAGTTTGGTAAGATTTTGCAAATCTCTGCATATTTGTAATAGTACGGTCAGAGCTCTTTTCAAAAATGGAAAGGTTTGTCATGTCTTCACAATTTCAATTAATTGTCTTTTCACTTTATAAAGTTTAAAGTACCTCAGCCTGAGTCAGTAGTCACCATATCTCGCATAGCTCGAGATGATGAAGTGAAATCACAATCAAAACCAAAAATGTTAGTTTATAAAAACTTATCATTGAAATACTATTGTCACAAACTTTTAGTGGGGTCTTAGCAATCCAGAGCAATGAAAACAAACCAGTAAATCTTGCTTCATGAATAAAAGACAAGGATCTTCATCAGCTCATGTCGAACTGATTCTTGTTGGATAACCTGCTTTCTCATTTTTTTGGAAGATTTAGGATTTAATATCCAGGAAATGATTTCTTCTGTAAATGATTTCAAGATTTTGTTCAGTAGATTAAGACAACCCACTACAATATCTTCTCCCCATCTAAATAAAACTCAGGGCACATTCAACATACTGTATTTAAATGTAGTATCAACTTGAAAAACAAGCAAATTCATTAGAAGTTGGTTAACAAACAAACTAAACTAAGGAAACAATCACATCACATGCATTACTTTCAAATTAAGAATCAATTTTTACTTATAAAATGGTTTTAACATTTTAACATTAGAAAAATAAAAAAAAACAGTGATAGTCAGAACAAGAGCATAAAACTTATTTGCAACCTTTCATAATGTGAACTGTTTCAACTTATAATAGTCGGATTTTACCAGAATTATTTTTTAATATAATTTCTTGGGTATGTGCCCATGGAACCTCACAAATATGATATAATAATAATCTTAGGAGGATAAAAATGTAATAATGGAATTCTTAAACTCGATGAAATAATCTTGATGTATTCTTTATTATTTCATCTCGTTTAAGAATTTCCGTTATTACATTTTTTTCCTCATAAGATTATCATATTTTTTTTATTTCCTGTATTTTTAATTATTTTTGGACAAAAAGTGAAATTTCCCCCTACATGTTAAATGTTATGCGTGGGAAAGGGTGGGTTGTGGTATGAATTTATGCAATGGGGGTGTATTTAATTCTACTAGGATTTTAGGGCGCTTTGCGCTTATTTTCTTTTATCTTGTGAACCTTTTCTCTTTGTATACATTGTAAAACAAAAACAAAACAAAAATTTCGCGGACTTTATCAAAAAATTTGTGGATTTACAAAATTTCCAAAAATCGAATTTTGTTAGAGGCAAATTTTTGAAAATTCGATCAACCCTTAATCTTCCCTGAGGTCACGTGGGATCCCAAACAAGCAAAGTATAAATAGATTTATTCGCCTCATTTACTTATTTACTTATTTCATGTTTACTTACTCATTTACTTAAAAAATGTTGAAATATAAAAAAGCCTGGATAATTTAGTTCTTGCAAGATTTAGGTGTGTGGCGGCTTTGTAAGAGAAGCAAAGGCATATTGGAGAAAAAAATGTATTCAGTATATATTTTTAAATATCTTTGCCTGTCTGTAAATCGAAATTTTTTTTTTAAATCCGCGAAATTTTGTCTTATTTTTGTTTTACAGTGTGTTAAAAGAGAAAATGTTCACAACCTAAATGGAAGATGAGCACGAAGCGCCCTAAATGTCTAGTTTATCTGCTCCTAGACTCTAGAGTGAGTAAAAGTAAAAATTCCATTATATTTTTGTTTGTTTTAGATCGACAGAGGGTGATAGAAAGAAGACTTTTAAATGTTGTGTATGCTCTGGTGAGAAGGTAATAGTCTGCTTTATAATTTACTTGTACTTGTAGACGTAATTTCAACTGACTTTCCATTTATAAGGCACTGCAAACTAAGTAGTACATAGAATTGAGCAGCATTTTTCCAATCACTCCTTTAAATTTGAGCAAGAAACAAGTGCGTTGCATTTTTTATTGTCATTTGAAAAAACTTTTTCTTTTTAATTCAATAGTTCTAATAAAATTAAGTACTTTTACTTTTTCTTGAAAAACATAATAAGGAAATTAACTGTCCAGTCAAAACCTGACTGGTCGCTGGTGATACTATTGATTAAATATTGACATTTATTATTTAGATATTTCCCTTTCGATCCGATCTCAAGAAGCATTTAGTTCACTGTCATCTAATGAGCAAAAAAAGGTATAGTAATAACACATTTGGGACATTATTAGCCTCTTTATGTAAATTTTTAAATAATTGTCCAAGGTCAAATTTAGTGCTAGAACTTTCAATACGTTTGTAAATTATCTAAACGCCATGATATACAAATTCACCACTTTAATCAGCATATATATATAGTGAAACCCTGCAGTAGCATTTACTAAACGAATTACCAAATCTGTTTAACATGATTATTAGATCATTTATAAATGTTTTGAAAGCCCTATCTCTAAATCTGAGTCTGGCCATGGAAAAAAACTTCAATGGGCTTTTGCATATATTTCTTTATGCACACAGAGCTAAATAACCTACAAACCAAGCTAATTTTTGCATATATTTCTTTATGCGCATAGAGCTAAATAACCTACAAACCAAGCCAATTTTTGCATATATTTCTTTATGCGCATAGAGCTAAATAACCTACAAACCAAGCCAATTTTTGCATATATTTCTTTATGCGCACAGAGCTAAATAACCTACAAACCAAGCCAATTTTTGCTCTTGAATTTACTTTTCTTGGATGTACACATTAGATTTAGTTCTCACTGTGAATTAACCAATAGTTGGTCAAGAAAAAACATAAAATGATCAGATTTTTTATACAATTTGATAAATCTAAAAGATTTTATTAGTGTTTCTTTAATTCTATTTAATCCCATAAACCCTTATTCTAGAAAACCCCTTCCCCTCTGCTATTTTTTATTAAAATTATAGGCTTTTGAGTTTTACATATTTCAAGTTTGCAATTTGAATATGTACATATTTCAAGTTTGCAATTTGAATTTGAACATATTTCAAGTTTGCAATTTGAATTTGTTCATATTTCAAGTTTGCAATTTGAATGTGTACATATTTCAAGTTTGCAATTTGAATTTGTACATATTTCAAGTTTGCAATTTGAACATATTTCAAGTTTGCAATTTGAATTTGTACATATTTCAAGTTTGCAATTTGAATATGTACATATTTCAAGGTTGCAATTTGAATATACACATATTTCAAGTTTCCATTTTGAATATGTACATATTTCAAATGTTCAATGTGTACATATTTCAATTTTGCTTTTTGATATTTCAAGTTTGCAATTTGAATATTTGCATATTTCAAGTTTGCTATTTGATATTTTAAGTTTGCTATTTGAACATGTACATATTTCAAGTTTACAATTTAAACATGAACATATTTGTAGTTTGCAATTTGAATATGTACATATTTCAAGGATGCAATTTGAACATGAATATATTTCTAGTTTGCAATTTGAATATGTACATATTTCAAGTTTGCAATTTGAACATGAACATATTTCAAGTTTGCAATTTGAATGTGTACATATTTCAAGTTTGCAATTTGAACATGAACATATTTCAAGTTCGCAATAATTTGAATATGCACATATTTCAAGTTTGTAATTTTAATATGTACATATTTCAAGTTTGCAAGGTATTGATAAACATTTGAACCGAAATGGTCCAAATATTAACAAATTCTCAACACTGCATACTTATTTTTTAAATGTGGGGGGGGGCAGATGTCAAAATATTAAATCTATGAAAATGGGTCATGTTGGGTATCGAATCAAAGGTGTTTGGTGTTTAGGAATGTGCCATCAGACAGTCAAAACTTGAAAGCAAGAAAATGGGTCATGTTATGCATCGAATCATTGGGGTTTTTTTGGAGTTCAGAACCAATCATGATATCATTATGATTTTAAGAAAATGAGCGAACAATAGAGAAAAAATCTGCAATTATTCCATTCATATAACAGAGTTAATCAATTATTTTCATTGATTTCATATTTTGACCTCTGGAGGTCTTCAGATCTATCTACTGATTCTCCTCATTTTACCGGAGTTAACTTAAAACTTTGTTTAATTTTGCAGGGAAAGTATTAATAAGAAGTATCAATGCCCGGATTGCTTCCAGCTTTACTCTACTTGGGGAAACATGAATGCTCACTACAGGTATTTACTGACTTAACAAAACTTATCCTAATTGTTAATTTGATATCACAAACTTCTAAACAATATTCTGATAAAGAGCAATTTCATAATATAGTCAAACCAATGAGGGAAACAACCTATAGGTGAGAACGGATTTAGTCTTTTATAATGTTTGACGGTATTGGATTGTTTTTATTCTGGAGTTAGTTCTTCAAAAGATTTGTCAAATTCAATCTACGTTATATTATTATTATTATTAACAATCAACCTAAGGACAAAGTACAATGACCTTTAGTTTGAAATACAATGAAAATAATGATAATGATAATGTTTGCTCTTTACATACTTATATATAAAACAATAAATCGAATATGTTTTAGTAGTTCTTTTATTTCAAGAATTTTTACTAACATTTATTAAAAATAATTTCCGTATTTTGGACGCCTCTTATAGTTTAACTGCTAATTAATGTTTTGGTTGTTATTATTATTATAATATCTTTCCAAAACTTTTTACAGTAGTCAACGAGTCTTTTAAAGAATTGATTTTTACTTCTAGAGAGAAACATACTCCTGGTAGATGTCAACACTCTTGTAATTTCTGTGATAAAAGATTTAACAGACAGGATCATTTTCAACTACACGTTCAGTCCCACACTAAGGTATCATCAACTATAGTCAATTCTGAGACATTTTTTATAAATTTAACAAGAGAACATTTTTAACTTTTACATTAAAGTTTGGGGTTACACATTGGTTTCTTTTTCAGATCTTATATTGTTACTTGTTTTGTTTTAACAACAAATTTTATTATTTAATAATGTAGAGAGTAAGTTAATAAAATATCTTGCCTGTAAAAAAGAAACATATAAAAAGAATATTTTTTTTGGTAAATTAGTTAAATGATGGTTAAGGAAAAAATGTATGTATGTAAATCTGTATTTTCTGTTCCCTTAATCAATATTGAATTTTGTGAACCCTGTCTGAATATTTAGGATAAATCCTGTCAGTGTTCTACCTGTGGGTTAAAGATTAGTAGACCTTCAGGCCTCTCCAGGCACTATTCTAATAAACACCCTTCCCCATTGTCTGTAAGTATCATTCAAAATTAGGAATAGAATGAACTCAATTTATTGGCTTAAATTGTCCAATATATATGAAACATAGCATCAGTTAACTTGAGATTGCTCAAATGGGGTTCCAAGTTCACGGTTGTATGGGTCCTGAGTGGGTATTTTATTAAGGCCTGAAACAAATTTGATGAATTATTTAGTTAAATTATTTTATATTATTTTATCACCCCCCCCTTAAAATTATATTATTGTATTTTGGTAATTTTTAAGTCAAAATCCTGCCAGAAGCCTTTGAAGACAAAATTTTGACTGATAGTGGCGCCACAGGAATTTTTTTAAAAAATCTAATAAAGGGATCGACTACTGTTGTCCCCCTCTATTGTTGTGCCCTATATTTTCCAGGGGAATATGCCCACAATTTGTCGAGGAGGGGGACGGTCCCCCCAATTTACCCCTGCCCCCTTAAGATGCCTCGGAGCGTGAGAAATGTTGTAGAGAATAATATTGTGTTGAAGGATGAATGTAATGGAAGGTCTAAACAAATCTGTAGATTCTGCCAAGAAAAGTTTAAGACAATTGCTCTTCGAGAGGTCAGTAAAGAACGCTTATTATTAAAAGTTTTTTTTTCAGGCCCTTTAAATATTTCTGAACAGATTTGAAGAAAAAAGCTTGCTCCAATAAGTTTTTCTCATTCGGATCTGGACATTTTGCAGATCCGGATCCGGATCCGTATTCAGGAAGCCAAAATTTTGCGGATCTTACGGATCCGAATCCTAAGCACTGCTAAAACTATTGGAAAGATACGATCTTGTTTTTATAATCTATCATTAAAATATTAGAATACAGTTGTATAATTTGTATATTTGTATAGTTGTCATAATTTGAATGTGTTTAGGACCATATTATAAATTACCATGGAGCCCAGCTTGACTGGTTAAAAGAAGAAAAATCTAGGAAGCAGAGGGATGTTCAGGCAATTCTCAGTCTGGAAACTTCTGAAGAAATAGAGGCATACCCACTTAAGAAAGTCCTAAAGGTATTCTATTAAGTGCATTATGTCCAAAGACAAAATTAGGTCAGTGTTGCTTCCATTAGCAAAATAAATTGGAAATACAAGCCTACCGTCTCAAGCATGCTTTAAAGATAATTTTTTTAAATACCGGCTTAAGATTGATCTAAAGTAAAAATTTGGGAAAAGAAATTTGATCTTTTAGCAGAATTTAAGAGATACATTAAGCTTTAGCTGGGTATATATTTTCTTGAAAAATGAGCTCCCCTCCCCCTTAGGAAACTTTTTTTGCATTAGAACTATGCTATGTTTATTTTTAAGGGTTTATCTACTGAATTGGGTTAACTTAATGATTTTTTTAGAGGAAAACAAAGAAACCTGTAAATAAATAGTATCATAAAGGATTAGAGAATAATTGCCTTGTTATATTAATTTTTTCATCATTTTCCCCAGAGCTCGAAATTATTATATACTCCCGGGATTCTGTTGAAATATTATGAAGTAGCGTAATGCAAAAACAGTTCTTTGCATCATACTCCCCCCACCCCTGAGGAAATGATTTTTAATGATATAAGGGATGAAAAATTGAACAAGTTTTTTATTCCTTTTAAAACTTTTGCCCAAAAATTCTTTTATCTCCTAAAAATCTTGAATTTTCCCCAATTCAGCGAATATATCCCCTAAAAAACTTGCTCTCTTGGAAAACATACTTAACTTCTCTGGGGAAAACATTATTTTCAAAACTGGGGGGGGGGAGAAAATATACATTACACCCCTAGCAAAGAACTGATTAATCATAATAATAACTCTTAACAATGTCCAGGAACTGAAAAAGTATACTTGTGCTGAATGTGGGGTGCAATATGCTTTTCCTGAAAATCTACAGAAGCACGCCAGGACTCTACATCAGGTCCAGATCAAATATATGAATATAATACTTGGCTTGTCTGTTTGTCCGTTTCCTAATAAATGTCAAAACGGCTAAACCAATCAGGCCTGCACATTTCTTGTCGCAACTTACATGACCCTATTGAAGGTACAGTGTACATAGACCGTCATAGTTGGAACATTTAGTCCGTACAAAAATGTCGACATGTTTTATTTTTGAATAAGCTAAAAAGCAAATTCCGCGAAAATTTGAGAACGATTAAAAATGGCGAATTTTAGAGAAAAAACTAAAAGCTAAAATAGCTAAAAGAAAAGGAAGCGCCTAAAAGACTAGTTTTTTTAGATTTTACTCAATCTTTGCCATTTATTTCATTTAAATCAATTAGAGGCAAGAAATCTTCTCAATACATTTTAAGAGTTAATATCTGAAGGTTTTTCTGTTTTTTCTTTGATGGAGGAAGAGATATGCTATACAATCTTTTCGTGTACAGTTCATATGAAAATTTAAATAAAAAAAATTTAGATGATGGGGAAAGGACAGTACACGTGTAATTATTGTGATGAGATATTTGGATTCATCTACGTTAAACAGGTAAATAGTCTAAAGTTATAAACTTTAACATAGTAATTAATTATTTTACATTTTTTCCCGAAAATATTTTTTAAAAATAAAAAAATTTAATAAAACTTTCTCTAGCTTTTAGCACTTTTGCGAAGGGGGGGGCAAATTGGATTTTAGAAAAGGGGGGTGGGGTATATAGTGGGGCTAGCCCCATGTCGAAATTTTTTTTACAGAAGCACTGTTTTCCCGACCAGCATTTTTAAATGGTTAAAGGGTTGGCTCTGTGCTCAATAATATATATCAAGCCATGGCTTGTTCGTGTGTTTAAAAAATTTACTTCCAACAGCTTTAAAATGAACGACATGAGTAAATTCATTAAACATGTGCGCGAAGCGCCAAAAAATGTCTTCTTCTAGTTTCTTTTTATGTATTTCTTAGTGTTTGTTAGTCCCTGGCTTAGTCATATTGACTATGTATATAAAGTCCTCTATTACAATCGACACCAGTTTTTTCTAATTCATCCACTAATCATATTTGTCCACTATATAGTCCCTTAATCCTAGGTATGTGCAGTCCTAAGTAGTAAGTAGTTTCTAGCAGTAATTGACTTTATTTATTCTGTCCAAAATCCATAATAGTCTTAATATCGAATTCCATCTGTCCTTGCAGATACAGTAAGGGACTGTTTTCCTCATTATAGTCTGCAATCGTCCTAACCGTCCGATATAATCCTTATTATGTTTCTTGTTATTCTTCTTAGGTTGTCAGGTTGCGTGTAACCTTAAAGTTAAATGGTATATGTATTGTATGTAATACACATGAGAAGCACATATACACTATACATGTTTAAACAGTTTTTTAGAGAGGATAAATTATGGATGACTGACCTTCTTAAAGTCGAAAACGATAAAATAGTTAGAAGTTCTAATAGAAATTATGCGCAAAGCGCCAAAGAAAATATTTTTTGTATTTTTTCTTAAAATTGACAAAAGATAAAAGACGGTTGACAATCATGATCATGCTTGAGTCAAGTGAAGTTGGGGGTGGGGGGGGGGGGCAAG